AAGATGTTTTCTTGTTCATGTTTTTTGTTTGTTGCGGTTGCACCCGATTCAAGAACCGAATGGCTCACAGGGCTATACCAAATAAATGAACTATGAACTATGAACATGCTTCCCTCTGGTCATAGACGCACGGAGCTCACTGGCTGTGCGCTTCTTTCCCACGGAGGTGGACACCCGCAACAAACGAGTGTTTCCCCACCTGGGCGCACACACACACACGGTAGCTTTGCTTGCACTTCTTGAGCAGAGGAGCTGCTGTTGCTGCAGCAGAAGTCGCATGAATGAGAAAGTTGGCGCCTAATGTGACCATTGCAACCGATTGGCCCGTGCAGAGGGAGTGATGACGCAATCCCGAGCCACGAGCCACCGTTGACGAGTGTTTGTGTCGTTTCGCTGGGATGATTGCACAGGAACTCGGGAACTTTGCACGATGCGAATTCGCCGCCTCGTAGGTTCTAAGCAGTGTTTCTGTACTCAGGCGGGGCGAGACGAGGCGGGGAGGCCCCCCCCCCCTCCCGATTGTATGTTTGCATGTAGAATTTCTTCTGCGCCGTACGTATCCAACCGCGCTAAATCGGAGGTTGCGTGGCAAGGACAACAAAACTAACCGCAGAGCAGTTCTAAAAGAAATTAAATTTTCAATCTAGATTTAAAAGCGCAGTTCCAGTGGCTTCCTAATATCAGAAATGGGAGTATTCCGGATGGTCACAGAAGGGCATCTGCAAGTGAGCGATGCAGTGAGAAGTCTTTGTCCGATGGTTTAGGCATAAATTGCTGCGAGGATGACCGGAGATCACGCGATGGTTTATCCTCCGTGACGAGATCAACAAGGTTACCGACTGTTGAGTTCAGTGCAGGCTTGTGGCGCGCTCTCACACTGCTCTGCGAATTAGCATTTTGGCCACTTGGCATGGCTGCTTAAGCCCAAGCTGCTTGACCAGGTAACATACCACTGACACTTGTTGCAGTTCCATTTGGTTTGGTGCATTTAAATTGGCCGTAAATTAAATTTTGATTTAAAGCTTTCGTGACTGCAGTAATTCATATTCTTAGTTTTTTCGGTAAAGTCACGTTGAAGAGAAACAACAAAATATATAAAACAATAAAAAATTCTCACGACGTTTCGACCATAACTCAAACGGTCATCATCAGGTGTATCGGTTTGCATAAATTTATTTTGAAAACGGCATATTTATTTATTTATATATAAAAATAACGTTTGCGTCACGCGCAACGATTGGCTGTTTGCCAGGACTAGTCCATCTATTTTTTGAAAAGAGGAGGGGGGAGACGAAATTTGTTTTTATGTATGCTGTCTGAAAGCCACTGTAAGCGTGAACAATCAATCAAGAACTGAAATGATTTATCAAATCTTTCCAATGATTGCTAAGATAGAATCCATCTTCTCGGTTGAAATTGTCTCTGTGTTTGTATATGTGGATAGCCTCATGAACGAATCTCTCATGAAAGCCAGATGGCTTACAAAGAACCTCCGTCTTGGAAAAGTCAATGTCATGTGAGCCTACTGAATTAGAACAATGATCTGCTACGGCCGAGGTGTTGGTCCTACCGTGTTTAAGGTCTGCTTTATGTTCACGAATGCGGTCCGAGATATGGCGTTTGGTTTCTCCAATGTAACTACTACCACAGAGGCAACTTAGTTTGTAGACACCAGGGTATTGTATGTCCGGAATCACATCTTTTACAGACGGAACCAGATCACGGATTTTATGTAATGTGTTGAAACGGACCTGGATCTTGTGTTTATTCAAGATTTTGGAGATCTTTTTTGTGATCCCAGCAATGTAGGGTAAAGTGATGGTTTTGAAAGGCTCCTCAAGAGGGTTCTTCTTCATGGTTTGAGTGATAGCTTTGCGGATTGTATAGTCGGAGTAACCATTAGCCCTAAGAGCTTGGTGTACGTGCTTGAGTTCACTGCTTATGTGTTCCTGGTCGGATATGCATTGGGCTCTATGATACAGAGTCTTGATGAGAGAATTCTTCTGTGATGGATGGTGGTGGGAATCCGGTTTCAGATAAGCATCTGTATGGGTAGCTTTCCTGTAGACAGAGTGGCTCATTGAACCATCAGGTCTCTTTTTAATTAGGACATCCAAAAAAGGTATCTTGCCATCTATTTCGACTTCCATGGTAAATCTGATGGCTGGGTGTATGGAATTGATGTGGTCGAAGAATTGGTCTAGAGCAGGCCGGCCATGTGGCCAGATGACAAAAGTGTCATCCACGTACCTCTTCCATAAGGTTGGGCGCAAAGTGGCAGTCTGGATGGCGTCAGTCTCAAATTTCTCCATGAAAATGTTAGCTATAACTGGAGAAAGGGGGGAGCCCATTGGGGTGCCCTCAGTTTGTTTGTAGAAAGTTCCATTCCAAGTGAAGTATGTATTGGTTAAACAGTGTCTCACCAGGGGGGGTACCTCAGTGTTTAGTCCTTGATGAACCAAGTCTTCAATGATTGCAATGGTGTCAGGTACAGGAACCTTGGTGAATAAGGAAACTACATCAAAACTGACAAGCAGGTCGTCTGGGGACAGGGAAATACCCTTGATTGTTGATACCAGGTGAGTAGAATTTTGTACCGCAGAGGTGGTCTTTCCAGTGAAAGGACGCAGGATTTCAGACAAAAAACGAGCTAGTTTGTAGGTGGGGGAGCTGATAGTAGAGACTATGGGACGAAGAGGTGTATCAACTTTATGTATTTTTGGTAAGCCGTATAATCTTGGTGGCCTGGCAGCAGAAGGTTTCAACGAAAACTGTTTAGATTGATCAATTAATGCGGTTGAATCAGAAATTATTTTGTTGGTTTGTGTGACGAGGCTGTTGGTGGGATCTCTTTTTATTTTTGTATAACTACCATCGTCGAGTAATTCTTTAATTTTGTTGTTGTATTCTATTTTATCCATGATAACAGTAGCATTGCCTTTGTCAGCTGAGAGAACTACAATATCATTCCTCTTTTTTAATTTATATAATTCAAAACGCTCATCTTTGCTGAGGTTGCTAAGCTGGCATCTTAGCGTTTTTGAGGGTTGCAGCGATTTCAGATCTTGCTACGTCTGCAGCGATGTGACCCAGGCCCCTGAGAGCAACGTCTACTTGGGCAATTATATCATTAACTGGTATGTGTTTAGGTGTGACTGCAAAGTTTAGACCTTTAGCTAAAACGGATTTCAGACCATCGGAAATAGAACTGTTACTGCGATTAATTACGACTTTATTAACGTCTAACTTTTTGGTGTGTGGGTCCGGTCTTTTGTTGAATAGGAGGTTAAATTTGGAAATCAGGTTTTCCTTACATTTGGTCGACATAGTAGCAGCTGAAGAGGCAGTCATATTGTCTACATGTTCCCAATCCGATGTGGACATTATTGCCGTCAATGATAAGTGTGATTTGTAGAGTGTCTTGTCTAACTGATCTAGTTCTGTGCGTATAAGTCTGATTTTTTCTGAGATAAGAGCTAAGCTAGTTTTGAAAAGAATTCGTTTCGCATTAGAAGAAGTTACAGTAGCAGAGGTGAGTGTAAATGCGATTGGTATTACCCCAGAGTCGCGGCATCTCTTCAGGAAGGTGAGAGACTCGATCAGCTGAGCTTTCTTATCCCGGAGTTTGTTGAAGGATCTTAAAGTTATGTGAAAACCCTCCCCGTAGAGGCGATTAAATTTTGATTTAAAGCTTTCGTGACTGCAGTAATTCATATTCTTAGTTTTTTCGGTAAAGTCACGTTGAAGAGAAACAACAAAATAACAAAATATATAAAACAATAAAAAATTCTCACGACGTTTCGACCATAACTCAAACGGTCATCATCAGGTGTGTCGGTTTGCATAAATTTATTTTGAAAACGGCATATTTATTTATTTATATAAATAACGTTTGCGTCACGCGCAACGATTGGCTGTTTGCCAGGACTAGTCCATCTATTTTTTGAAAAGAGGAGGGGGGAGACGAAATTTGTTTTTATGTATGCTGTCTGAAAGCCACTGTAAGCGTGAACAATCAATCAAACCAATCGCCATATCTCGGACCGCATTCGTGAACATAAAGCAGACCTTAAACACGGTAGGACCAACACCTCGGCCGTAGCAGATCATTGTTCTAATTCAGTAGGCTCACATGACATTGACTTTTCCAAGACGGAGGTTCTTTGTAAGCCATCTGGCTTCCATGAGAGATTCGTTCATGAGGCTATCCACATATACAAACACAGAGACAATTTCAACCGAGAAGATGGATTCTATCTTAGCAATCATTGGAAAGATTTGATAAATCATTTCAGTTCTTGATTGATTGTTCACGCTTACAGTGGCTTTCAGACAGCATACATAAAAACAAATTTCGTCTCCCCCCTCCTCTTTTCAAAAAATAGATGGACTAGTCCTGGCAAACAGCCAATCGTTGCGCGTGACGCAAACGTTATTTTTTTATATAAATAAATAAATATGCCGTTTTCAAAATAAATTTATGCAAACCGACACACCTGATGATGACCGTTTGAGTTATGGTCGAAACGTCGTGAGAATTTTTTATTGTTTTATATATTTTGTTATTTTGTTGTTTCTCTTCAACGTGACTTTACCGAAAAAACTAAGAATATGGCCGTAAATTGTAATAGTTTAACAACCATTCGTCCCACGGTGAATTGACAAAGGCCTCACCAGGCCACATTGTTCGTGGCGGTTGTTTGACCTTCATGGTGAAGGTGGGGGTGGGTGGGAAGAATAATTCAGACATCACTGCCACCGGTATTAGCCACAGCCAGTAATTGAAATTGGGCCGCGAGGTTTAAAAAAACGCATTGCGGCATCTGCTGTGCCACTTCCACCAGCTGAGTTAAATTCGCACAAGACACCATTTCAATATCTTCTTTGGTTCTTTCGGTAAAGTCACGTAGAATGCGAATAAAATAATAAATTGATAAAATAAAATAACACAATAAAATTCTCACGACGTTTCGGCCACAACACAAGCGGCCTTCATCAGGTGAAGGGACGAGACTGTCTGGAGGACAGCGCTGGAGCGAACACAGCCACGCTCAGATCGCGACCTTGCAGTCACGAAAGCTTTAAATCGAAACCATTCCAATAATATTTCAGTAGGTAACGATGTTCACTGTGGTACTCCTACGATTTTACATATTCTGTAGTTTCTAATACATACCTGTCAACCCATAACGGCTCACCCGTATTCTTGTCCAAATTTATTTTTCAGGTCCATATGGCGTACAGCCATTGCAATACGGGGAAAAGTGTTTCTCCCTTGTGATGGGACTTTGTAGGATGAACGTTGAGATTTATAAGGGCGCGGGGTGACCAATAAGGTCTGAATTGGTCTGTAATAAGGTAGGCACTAATTAGGCGTTCACAGGTATGCTAATGACTGATTTAAAGTTAGGCTGACTGCCAGGATAGTGTAACTTTCAATAAGAAACATCCTTCAAATATAATTGGCTTATGGTCTCCTGGTCGAGAGAAATATAATAACAGCAGATTATTAATGTTAGAAATACATTTTACAAAAGGAAATGTAAGGCCACGAATGGGATACGACCACTTTAGTGTTTAATTTTCTGAAAACAGCATTGCATAGTTGTATCATTGTTAAGGCTGAAAAATGCCTCCTGTTATGGTAAACTTTTAAAAGCCTCTTAGCTAAGTAAGCCAGTGTGATGCACTGGTGGATTTTCTGAAATGGCACTTGTGGTCATCGGACAGGCGTTATATTTTCTTTAAACAAATGTGAAGTACATTGGGTCCAAAAAACGCATGCTCAGTTAGAATCGCAACAATGTACCTGTACAGTACGAGTACTTAAAAATGTTTAGTCTTGGACTTTAAACATTTCACAATCTGTTAAGTTCAGTAAGATCGTGTGCCAAATGCAAATGAATATGCTTATTTGTAGGTGCAAGCCAGCCCGATAAAACGTAACTTTACACAATTTATTAGCTGGGTATGGATATACTAACTAAACTATTTTATCAGGTAAGCCCCACTGAGCTACGTAGCTCTTTTTCAGAAGCGACCTGGCCACAATTGATAACTTAACGAAGTGGCTTATGTGGACATTTATGGCAGCCCAAATACTGTTAAACGGACGTTGATTCAAAATGTGGAGGGGAAAACCGGAGAACTCTGGGAAAAAAAATCAACGCGACCGCAGGGAGAACACGCCAAGTCCAAATATACAGCAGCAGGCGTCAAGGGTCGGGATCGAACCCACAACCTCCTTCATACCAGGCGAGGAAGTTAACATCTCCTAGCCAACCCCTATACAGTGCTACGGTTGGGCCCTTAAAAGCATCCAGTGTATACACAGAGGGCCCTGCACTACATTTCCATTTAAGAAAGTAAAACAAGGGCGGAAACGTGGGGTCAAATAAATGCTGGCTCTGCCAGTAAGCTCATCCACACAGTTATTACGATGCACCATCGTTAATGCCACGGTGCGGTGCTGTGGTCAAGTACAGGTAGGTTAATCCTTGTAACAAGAATTGGATTAAGGCTATCCCTGGGCTGTATGCCAGGACAATGATTTGGCCATCCTCCATCTCAAGTCACCAGATTCTGCCTTTACCCTGTGCGAGGCCATGCAAGACCACCCCCATGCTCTTTGTTAAGGCCCGATTGGTTAGGCTTCTCTTTCACTGCCTCTCCAGACTTGGTGAAAAAAAGGGCGAATATGTTTAAAAGACAATCACAGGCGGCTTGAACGAAGGGAAAATAATTATACACAAGTCAGTTTTGAATGGGAACATCAATGTTAAGTTATTTGTAGTTTTTTCTTAATTCTTAAGCAATCGGTAACACCATGGCCACGTTTGGCTATGGAGCCGCTGCAGACATTTCATTTCAGATTTTGGAAGACTTGTTCATCTCCAGGGTAAACCACGTGCTGCCCTTAGGTCAATCCACTGCTAGATGAGGGCCTCGCCCAGCCATGTGGGCGGGGATTATTTGACCATACTGAACCGCCAGTCATTTCTGGCTGGTTAAGGCGGGGAGAATAAAATGTGTATGCATAAAATGTGTTACAGCGATGGATTGTGCTGCGCTGATCTCCGCTGTCCACGTAGCCCCGCAGCTTGGAGCAACCCGCTACGCATCTTGGTCGCCCTCTCGAGCGCTAACCAGGCTCTATTCTGCTCAGCTTCTGGGGATCGCATTCGTCAATAAGCACTGCCCCAAAAAGGAGAAAGATTTAACGGCCGACTTTTTTTGGCAATGACCCTTTTTCATAGAGCACGCAAGTGTCGAGCAGCACGAGATTTTTGTCGTCGGCGTTTTGCGATGCGTGGGTATAGTCCGGGCTGGCTTGGTCACGGGCAACGTATAACTGTAGTGTAAGTGGATTTTATTTTCCAGCTCGCGGAGCTAAATCAGTGGACATTAGGCTCACACGAGCCATTTGGCAAATTCACTTCAAGTTAATCGAACAGCAGAGACGTTATATCTTACATGTTTGGTGTTCGTAGTTATCGTCTGTTATTTTCAAGCCATCGTTGACACATGTACAGTATATTGCTAATGCGGTGAAGTTTTAACAATGGTAAAAAAAAAATGTCCCAATTCTACAGACCTCGTTGACGCAGAAAGTGACTACACATTCCATGCGCGCACCCATTGCCGAACGTCACGCGGCGTGACCGAATACAGACCGAGACCACACGTTCAAACGTTGGTTTCGCGCTCGGACAGCAAACCGAATGTGACATCTCCAAACACCTTGTCTTTCCCGAGTACACATCGTTCGCCTGCGCTCGTCGCAATTCCCGCGCGTTCACCATCGTCGGAGTCTTCCAGAAAGTACATCTTTGGCGTGCTGCCTTTGCTGCCAGTGCTTTCCAGAGGGGCAGTGTCAAGATCCTAAAGTTAGCAACAGGCAAGTGTTAAACTCCCGGTTGGCTACGTACAGGTGCGCGAAAGGAGTGCAACGTTCCACACGTACAACTCGGCGAGCAAACGGTGACACGCGTGCCCACATTTTTAAAACGTGTTCACGTTTCAGTTTAAAATAGATTTGTTTGTTTAACCAGGTGAGAACCCAAGCGACCAGGATGAGGCTGGAGCATTTGTATGCCAGTATTGGGGTGGGGGAGGGAGCAATGGTTGTTACGCATCATCCCGCACCTCCGATTAGGACGGTTGACTACGCACGTTTATCAAGAAGTTCGCACCGTGCGTAGTTCAACGTGCATGCGCAGCCCAAATCACGTAGTTTGCCGGTAACTTTTAAAACTCGCCAAAATTCAGACCCCGACGCTGGCACACGGTGGTGGTCTGCGCTTGGCGAATGACGTCGCGGGACCTTAAACGCCCACTGCGAAGTGGATGGCGTATGGGATCATCACGGTTATCGTTCCCCGAAGTAACCAAATCGGGGCAGCCGCCAGGTTCGAACTGTGAACGTCGACAGGCGGTGGGTGCATGCCACCGCCCTTGCGCGTACGTTGAGCAATCACAACGCGAGACTATCGCAATGTTAAAATGAAATTTCTCGTTATTCAAATCCACATGGCATGTACTTAAAAGGGTAATCCGGTATCCAAATGCACGCACGCCACTCGCACCGTGGATGACAGCCGTCGGGGATTCTCACCTCGGAGTTTAGAGAGACCAGGGAATGTTTGTCCTTCTTGAGCTTGTTCTTTGACGGCCAGGAGAGGTCGCTCCACAGCAAGCCTGGCCCAATGTCCTCTCGCCGAGTTGGGCCTAGCATGAATGTGAACATCATCATCCTCATTTAGGCACGATTAATCCACTGCTGGATGAAGGCCTCCACAAACCGTTGCAAAGTTCTGTTTTCCTAAAGCACTCCACGCTACTCTAGTCTGCCTCGGCGTCATATATACTGTGCTTATCCTGGTCGGCTTTTAAGAACTGCCCTAGTTATACCTACAGTACTCCTCGGTACTTAAATTATGAGTGAATATCTTCCGGGTCGCTGGTAGACTGGATTAGGTAGACTACTCGTAGCCACAGGCATGGCGAAGAGGTAAACACACACAGCTTTAGACTATTTGGCTGCTATAAATTTCCACGTGACAAGCCACTTCGTTGAGCTATCATTTGTGGCCAGGTCGCTTCTGAAAAATAAGCTTATAGCTTTGGTGGGCTTTACCCGGTAAAATACAAAGTTTAGTTCTATTTAAGTCAAGATTTAGTTCTATTTGTATACTTTTTCGTGATTCGCTTTCCTTTCCTATACTTTTCACCCCTGTCATGTTTTTTCGTATCATTTGCTGTTGTAACGTTCTGACCCGCCCCGAATAGACATCTGTGAAAAAAAAGAGCTTTTTAGCTCATCGGGTTCCTCCATTGTTGTGACCAAAGCGTCCGTCTGCTGCAGGCGAGACTCGCCATTTACCTGTGAGGTAGCTGACAGCGATCCCCACCAGCATGGTGACGACCGTGCCCAGCGGCCCGAAGTACAGGTACGACATGGCATAGAAGCTGTCCGCCAGGGCGGGCCTGCACGGCACGACACGGGCGCACGCACCACCCACAAGCACAGCTGTGGTTCCGTGGGGCCAAAACGGTGGCACAGTTGACCAGGGGGCACCAAACGTTGCACCTCTCTCTTCCCGTGCTCACTTGGATTTTTCTACGGCTTCCCCCCCCCCCCCGGGGTATACGGCTATTATAAATTTCCACGTGATAAGCCACTTCGTTGAGCTATCATTTGTTGATAGCCAGGTCGCTTCTGAAAAAAAATAACTCCACAGCACGGTTGTGGCCTTAACCTGGTAAGATTAACAAAAAAATTCGTTCGGTTTAACCGCGGTGTTTATGATGACGGCACCAACCTGGCGGCATCACAGACCTCCGGCACCGCGGAGAGATTGGCCCCGAAGGCGCGCAGGTCGGGGGCGGCGCTCGCGTTCGCGGATCCGCCATGCAGGCGCCACGTGGCGGCGGCAGCGGCACCGCACGCCGACACGGAGGTGGGCAGGGCGCCCATGCCGGCCAGGCTGGGCGGGTAGATGGAGGCGCCAACGGAAATCCACAGCGACGCCACGAAGCCCGCGGCAAGGCCGACCAGCACCCCCTGGGGACACAGCGATCCACTCCGCAAACAAACAAAAAAAAACGACGGGAAACTCGCCACCCCTCTGCCGCCCCCAGCGCCAGGCACCACCCAGGCTGGACGCTCATTCAGACATCAGATCAGAATATTGATACTGGAGGAATCCGATTGGGCTACGAAGCTCGTTTTTCACACAGATGTCCAGATGTCAAGTCAAGCAGGAGATTGCCACTCTCTCACTGTCAAACGGTTCCCATACTAAGGTGGAAAAAGCATTTATGCATTAGCTCTGTCCAGTTATCAGCTACCAGGGGGGTGGTGGGGTGGTGAAGGGTTAACTTTCGTCAAGATGTTCCTACATTAACTAAACTTTTGCATAAAGTGGTGTTGCTCTTTGGTGATTTACTCCATGAAAAAACAGGCCCAATTGATTAAAGGGTTACCGATTGCTTTGATACACAAACATACACCAGTGTACAAAAGGATGCAAAATGTTTATTGAATCTTGACAGCAATCCACCAGCTTTCTGGAGTTGCAGAATCCAAGCATCTACACGCAAAAGTAAGTCAAGCTCGTGCCTCGTGTAAGTCACGTGCAATTCCGAATCCCTCCCCTCGCCCCATCCCCTGTGAAAACGGACGCTGCTCCATGCAGCAGCGCCGAGGTCCTTACTCGGCCTTTGTTTCCCCCATCCTCATCTTTCCTGGCCCTTTGCACCAGTTCGTCCATCACTTTACTCTTTTTTCTCACTTTTTCTCTTCTCCCTTTCATATCCCCCTTTCTTTCCCCCCCATGCATTACAACATCCTCGACTCCTCCCCCCTTCCAGTGGCGTGCCGTGGGCAAAAATGTTCCTAATTGCATCATTTATCTTCCTCGTTGCCGCCTCCCGTGTCCGGACGTCGTACCGCGACAACAACAGACCGATCGCCATTGGTACGTGCTTACGTTGAACTTCAATTCGCAGTGGCTGCAACGGTCGAGCACGCTGGACGTGCGACTGCACCGGGGGCCTACAGGCTGGAGGGGGGCCCCAGGTCGCCGACCATGCCACGCAAACAAGAGCGCTGGTTTTGTTCGACTGGCTCGGTGCGTCATCATGGAATGGGTCACACGCAGTCATCCACGGACTTGAAGTGCGTCAAGGAGACGGAGCTTGTTGTGGATATCTTTTAACCGCAGTCATTAAATTTGACGAGCCGGCAGTGTTCTGCACCTGCGGAAAAGCGGACAGAATTTTGGAAGCTACGGCGGTGTTTGTGGGACGCGTTTGGCATAACCGTGCACATCGTGCACCAGGGAAATGTTGCACCGTCGACATCGCCAGCCGATGTGGTCATTGTTGAGATGCATCGATGCTTAAGCCATGGTCGAAGTGACTCAGAAGAGGTGGGAGTGCTCGCCGAGCGAGCCAGCACCGTTGAGAACCTGGGTTCGAATCTAGGTAGTCGCTTTGCGATTAATCCAGGTTCTTGAGTAAAGAGAGGTCAAAGTTTCAGCCCGGTCACCAAAGACTGGACACGGAAATAAAAAGGATCACCTTAAAATTTGGTTCTGGACTTAATTTGGCTAAACTCCAGGTCTGAGAAATAAATATTACTTGTCTGTCATGCAATGCTCTAATATGCTGAGAGGGTGGAAAAGTGCTTCCCCCCCCCCCCTCTGCTGCGTGGACCAGAGATCGCTCGAAGGGATGTCGGCAGTAGCTTCGTGATATCCGCTTCTGTGGACCATCACCTAACGTGGTGCAACCGCTCTGCGAGAGACCCGATTGGACGCTCCGTCTCCGCACCTCCTCCGATTTAGCACGGCTGGCTCCGTACAGTGTGTGAAAGAAGTTCACACACACACACACACGTCTCGTCACATGGACACCGGGTAGAACAATTTTGGAAGAAAAAAAAGTGAGCACAAAAAAAACCGAACACAAACGAAGGAGGATGGGGGGGGGGGAGCCATTCTCGCCGAGACGTACGGTGGAATTGGACGGCGGAACAAAGATGCCGAGGCTGAAGGCCCCGAGCAGAGGGCCGCTCACGACGCCCATCACGGTGAAGGAGGCCTGCACGCCACACACAGCCGTCCCCGTCCGTACATTCTGTACGTACGTTGAACTTTTTTCGCACCGTACGTAGCCTACCGTGCTAATCGGAGTTTTGAGGGGGGGGGTGGGGGGGAGGGGGCGGGGAAGGACAAACTAAACACAAAAAGCAGTTTGTAAGAAACGCGTGCATAGCTCTCAGTGGCTTGCTCATATCGGAAGGAAGCGCGTTCTGGACGGCCGCAGAAGCCCATCCGAAAGCTCGCGATGCGGTGACCACCGTCTTTGTCCGATGGCTCGTGCCTCTCCCTCCCTCGATTCAAACGAGTTCACACCCTCGCTTGCGCGGCGGCGGCGGCGTCAAGCGCGCGTGTTGTCAACAATCGGAATCGACCAATTATCTTTAAAAGTTCAATTTAAAAAAAAAAAACTCTTGCATTGGCGTTAGGAATTGTTGTTTTTGCACTGGCGAGTTGGCACATTCCCACCACCCAGGAATGTCCCCGTCACTGTTGTCCGCTGCCGACAATGTTTCTTGGGCTGCGGTTGCCCTTGCAAAAGAGTTGCTCAGCTCAATGGGTTTAAAGGGTAAAATAAATTCCGAGTCCGACGGACGTTTTGTATGCATGTAGAACCACTTTTCGCACCGTACGTAGCCAACCGTGCTCAAATTCGGAGGTGTGAGGGTTGCCCAAAACTTGGGGGACACAAACCAGAGCAAAGCGAACTGGATGTCAGCTACCCGTCAGTTTCCGTACTTGTTAACGAAATAGGACCAAGACGTCCGTTGGAAAAGCATTCGAGAGAATCCCTGCTCGTGCACGATTTGTCTTCCCTGTTTACGTTAACATTGGGAGGCATTGAGGGGCACTTTTATATTTCGACACAAATGTTGACTTGCAAGCACGACCACTGCTGGGAGTGTGAACGAGATTCCGAGTTTACCTGCAGAACTCCGCCACCCAGCAGGGATGACAACGCCGCCACGATGATGCACAGGGACCCGTACAAGAACGCTAAAAAGACAAAGATCCCCCGTATAGCCTTGACAGACCGTTGGGACAAGTGGTGTTAAGCGAGCACCTATGAAGGCTGGCATGGCACACGAGGGGGCGAGTGGCCAGCACAACGCCCGGCCGCCTTTGTCTCCCTAGTGAGGATATTTACACACCGCACCAGGTTCTCATTTGAGGCCGAGTCGACCTAGAGGAGGCCCAGGACCGGTTCAGACATTCATCAGCGATGTTGGCCTTGAGTGGGAATCGAACTTCGGTCACCGGGTTCATAGCGTAGCGCCAACCGCTACACTACACACACGCACGGCGTATCACCCACAGCTACACCCCTACGTCGCTTACCGGCAGGCGCACAGATGTTCAAGTGCAGCTCTTTGGTCAATCCACTGCTGGATGAGGGCCTCCATAATTACCATGGCGGGCCGGCGGGGGGTGTGGGGGGGGGATTTTTATTGTACAAGGAGCTCGACCGTACCCATCTGGGCTCGGGGGTAGGAAGGGGGCTTGGGGCTGAGAGGGACGCCGAGTAAAAACTAAAACAAACTATTTTTATATTCTTCTTAATTTAAACTATTTTTATTTCACCAGGTAAGGCCCCATTGAGCGATGTAGCTCTTTTTCAGAAAGCAAACTGGCCACAAATGATATCTCAACGAAGTGGATTATCATCACGTGGAAATAAATGTATTGTAGCCAAATACTCTAAAAAGGCGTGTTTCTAAATGTGGAGGGACAAAACGGGAAGACCCCGGAGAAAAACTCCACGCGACCACGGGGAGAGAGACACGCAATCTCCAAATATACAGGCGGTGTCAGGGTCGGGATCCAACGCACGACCTCCTGTATACCGGGAGAGGCAGCTAACATCTCGCCCACCCTGGCATCCACAGTAAGGAGGCTCGCTCGGGGGCCCTGGACGGTGGGCCAAGCCGCCACGCGCTGTCTCACCGTGCTCGCCGCTCGCCGCTCTCAGCCGCGGGCGGAAATCGAACCGAGGTCGCCGGGTTCGGAGTGCGTCAACCAACCCCGCCCCCCCACCCATAACTGGCGGGGCGACGTTTCGGGGGGCGGGGGGGGCTGGCCGGCACCGCGCGTGAACTCACAGAGGCCCTTGGAAATGAGCGCGAGCTTCCTCTCCGGCAGCACCCTCACGTTGGGCTTCAGGAGGTCCTCGAGCGTCACGGCCGCCAGTGCGTTGATGCTCGTCGATGCCGTGCTGGGCACGGTCGGGGGAAGTGGGGGTGGGGGTCACAGCGACAGCGATCGCCTCCCCGTTGCTCGCCACGCGGCCCCCCCTCAGCACTCACCAATTCAAGTCTAGGTCGCTCGGTCGCTCGGTCGAACCCCCCCCACCCCCCACTGAGCGGCCAATTGCCTCCTTAGCGCTCTGTCGCTACGAGGATGGTTACCGTTCCCGTGACGGTGGCGTCTCTTTCACAATGCAGTCAAGCACCACACTGCAGGTCACACTCACCCACTCACCACACTCACTCACTACATTGTAGGTCACACTCACCCACTCACCACACTCACTCACTACATTGTAGGTCACACTCACCCACTCACCACACTCGCTCACCACACTGCAGGTCACACTCACCCACTCACCACACCCACTCACTACATTGCAGGTCACACTCACCCACTCACCACACTCACTCACTACATTGTAGGTCACACTCACCCACTCACCACACTCGCTCACCACACTGCAGGTCACACTCACCCACTCACCACACCCACTCACTACATTGCAGGTCACACTCACCCTCTCACCACACTCGCTCACCACACTGCAGGTCACACTCACCCACTCACACCACTGCAGGTCACACTCACCCACTCACCACACTCACCACTGCAGGTCACACTCACCCACTCACCACACTCACCCACTCACCACTGCAGGTCACACTCACCCACTCACCACACTCACCCACTCACCACTGCAGGTCACACTCACCCACTCACCACACTCACCCACTCACCACTGCAGGTCACACTCACCCACTCACCCACTCACCCACTCACCACACTGCAGGTCACACTCACCACTGCAGGTCACACCACTGCAGGTCACACTCACCAACTCACCACTGCAGGTCACACCACTGCAGGTCACACTCACCACTTTATCTCTCTGCTTCTTCTCTCGCACTGCTCCACTCTGAATTCCCTCCCATCGTCTTAACTTCCAAAGTTTTTATTAGAACCTCTCAATTAAAAAAACAAACCGAATCGACTCACATCTCTTATACTCTTAATTGCGCTGTCTGTTGCACGCTGCTTGTGGGTCTCTGCGCTGCAGATCGTCTCGATGCTTTAAAAAAAGACCTCTGCTTAAATTTGGTAAGAACTCTGAACGTTGAAAGAAGCGACCGTGGGCTGTGGTCATCACAAGGCCTCATTTCAACCGGGTCTGTCCAGCTCAGCGAAACGTAAAACATTTCTGCGTCCGGCACACCGCATCCGGTATCCCTCCAGCCGTGGCGGCTACGCAGCACGTGCCACCTACTACTCCAGTCTACCAGCGACCCGGTGAATACTCCCTTCGCCATTACATCACCGACAGTGAGAATGAACGAGTCAATGTGGCCGTGAACGCAGTGTGCGATGGGTACCTCAGTGTCCCAGAGTACGCGCAGGACAGGAAGAGCCCCGGAACGCCGGGAATGTTTTCGAAAATATCCAGCACAAAATACGGCATCAGCTGCAGGAATATCAGCCAGGTGGCGACGCGATGGATGAGTGAAAAATAGTACCGAACTGCGACGCAAAACACTAAAAATATGCAAATGAATAAATAAAATTACCCAGCAAAAAAAAAACGCAAATAAAGTGAGCAAGTGAATGGAAGAGTGAATGAGTGGGTGAGTAAATGAGCGAGTGGTCGGGTGGATGGATGAATGGATGCGCGAGTGGGCGAGTGAATGAGCGGGCGAGTCCACGATTGAACGGATGAGTGAGTGAGCGATCGAGGTGCTGGTCTGCCTACCTGGTCGGGGGCGGTCACAAGGCCGGCCTGCAGCGGGTCACAGTCCTTGTACAAGGCGAACATGACAAGGCCGCACATGCCGGCACTGCATACGATCACCCACAGCCCCAGCAGATTCACAAACAGGGCCCTGCAAAAGCCACAGTGGGTAGCACACGGCAATCGCCCATGGCCCGGAGCAGCAGTTCCCAGCCTCTCTGGCCGTGCGCCAATAGCATTTCCTTAAATGAAAAGCTACCCCAAATGTACCGTGAAAAGTCAATTAAAAAAAGCCGTAGACACAAAGGGAAACCCCTGCTTGCCACCGACTTATCTACATTGTGCAATCGGCGGTAAAAACAAAGAGTTCCGCGCACCACTTGTATGTACGTATGTTGAACTTCTTTCACACCATACGTAGCAACCCGTGCTAAGCAGAGGTGGCCTTGTGCACCAGTGGTCTGGGAACCGACCCGGACAGTCTATGAATTGGCATCTGTGAATTTAGCATCCGTCTTTGGGTTGAAGGAATTGATTTGTATCGAGATCTGGTACCGGTATTGCCGTGTTCAACTTTATTGCAGTCAACGGCACAGCTTTGATACTTGACCTGGTCGACTGATTGACACAATGACCCCCCATGTCGCCTTAACAAACTGTTGGTGCAAATGCTGTTAACGAGCACCTACGAAGAGGCCGGCACAGCACATGAGGGGGTGGATGGCCAGCACTACGCCCGACCGCCTTTATCTCTCCAGTGGCGATAATTTTACACACCGCACCAGGTACTCATTTGAGGTTGAGTCGACCTAGGGGAGGCCCAGGACCGGTTCACATAATCATCACTGGTGGTGGCCGTGAGCAGAAATCGAATCCGGGTCGCCAGGTCCATAGCGCGGCGCGCTAACTGCTACACACCCACACACACCACAACAAAAACCCCATATAGCCTTAACAGACTGTAGGGGCAAGTGCTGTTAGCGAGCACCTATGAAGGCCGGAACGGTACACGAGGGGGTGGGTGGCCAGCACCACGCCCGACCACCTTTATCTCCCTAGTGGCAATGTTTACACACCGCACCAGGTACTCATTTGAGGCCGAGTCGACCTAGGGGAGGCCCGGGACCGGTTCAGATAATCGTCACTGGTGTTGGCCGTGAGCGGGAATCGAACCCGTGTCGCCGGGTTCATAGCGGAGCGCGCTAACTGCTACACTATCGCTCCCCACCACAACACGCATACACACACACAGACACACACACAGACACAACCCCGGGTTTGGTCTGCATGTAGAAACCCAAACGCGGCGACTCGCGGTTGGGAATCGCCGGCCTAGGGCAGCGATTTTCTTTGCAAGGCCCACGGGCCACTGGCGGCCCCTGGGTGGTCTTTAGTGTGACCCACGAAAATACACAAAATGTGAAAACACACCCCCCCCCCCCCATCATCGTCCTGACACAAACCCCAATGGTTTAAAATGTGTGGCAGCCCTCACACGAATGATGTCTTATCGGTGAAAGTGCCCCTGCCCCAACCCCCTCTGAAAGTTAGCGAAGAACACCGGCCTAGAGGGGCTGGGGGGGGGGGGGGTGTTGCCGTGGTGCCGCAGTGCCCAACCTGCGGGCCTGCGTCTCCGAGCGGCAGGCGAGGTAGCGCTGCACCTGCGCCTGGTTGACGCCGTACATGGAGAGCCAGAGAAGGGTCGCTCCCGTCGTGAGCGTCCAGAACGTGTATCTCCGCCGGGGGTCTGGGTCAAAGCTGGCAGCGAGAGTGTGCGTCGTCGACGTCACCACGGCTTCCATTCGCGACTTGTGTTTGCACAAAAACAACTAAACGGCTCTTGCAAATTGGTCGATTCGTGAAATGTTTGAAACTCCGGGAGACTATGAACACACTGCTCCCGATCGTCACCCCCTACCGCGGTAGGGCAGCGGAGCCCAGACGCCTCCACTCCGTCCCTAATAATGGAGGGTGTTTCGCTCTGGGTTTGTTCCACGTCATCTACTCCCCCCTCCTTCTCCCTATTTGAAATCTACTTTGTATTCTGGGTTCTAGAATAACAATAAACAAGGGGGCAGCCTTTCCCTACAAACCATGGCCAGCGTAACGCGTCTGATTATGTCACCAAGCCCCGCCCATCACCTCCTATCCAGTGTCACATGCGGGGCCACAGTTGACACTTCTATTTTCCCGTAGTTATTTGCGTGTGTTTATTCCATTAGTCGAGTGATCGATCGATAAATCAGTCGAGTCACTTGAAACATTACTCAGACACAAGTGGTCGGATAGTCCAGCTCACGTAAAAAAAAACTACTACACTTAAAACCCCAGCACCCACCTCACCCTGGTCCAAAACCCCAATGTTATTTGCAAGTACGTCGATATACAAGCCATTTCAACTACAACTCTGATATTAAGTGTGCATTCAAAATGTAACATTTGCTCAGTTTGCTTTTACTATTTTGTTCCGTCCGAAATGATTGAACCAATTCAGCCAGTACAGCCAGCACAGCCAATAGATCCACTACAGCCAGCACAGACAGCAAAGACAGCAAAGCCAATACAGCCAGCACAGCCATTTATAACTCTTATTAGGGGGAGCAAATGTTGTTCCCTGTTGTTAACAAATGTCGTGCCCGTTTCTCTGGTCGTTCAAACATTCCCTTAATATTTGTTCTTGGAGGCGGCAAAATTATAATCGCACCAGCTCAGAGCTATTAACGCTGTACCGGCCTCTAAAGCACCTGGGGGCACACTTCAAGCAGTGCAGGTGTTGACACTGCGGCTCACCCCCAGGCTCACCCCCAGGCTCACCCCCAGGCTCACCCCCAGGCTCACCCCCAGGCTCACCCCCAGGCTCACCCCCAGGCTCACCCCCAGGCTCACCCCCAGGCTCACCCCCAGGCTCACCCCCAGGCTCACCCCCAGGCTCACCCCCAGGCTCACCCCCAGGCTCACCCCCAGGCTCACCCCCAGGCTCACCCCCAGGCTCACCCCCAGGCTCACCCCCAGGCTCACCCCCAGGCTCACCCCCAGGCTCCACGAATCCCCCGCGGGTGGTACTACTCACTCTCCAAAGTTGATCCGCGAGCCGTTGTTCACGCGGGAAATGGCCGTCGAGATCCCACCGACCTCCATCGTGCCCTGGATCAGGACGGCCCAGAACCCGGCCAGCATCACCATCACCTGGAAGGCGTCCGTCCACACCACCGCCTTCATCCCACCCTGGAGGCCGGTGGGGGTGGGGGGGATGGCGTCGGTAGCGGGTTAAAAAGGGGCGGTGCATGGAAATTCACCGTTTAAAAAGAAAAAAAAAATCACATCCAGCGAGGTATGTGGTAACGTGGACTTGGTCAGCGGTGTACAAGCGCCGGCGAACGAAAACCCGGCAAAAAATGTACAACAGGTGACGCGTCTGGATCTCTCTCCTATCAATAAAAGGACCATCGCCCGCAACGTTGTCCATTATATGGGTAAACGATAATCTCTCGAAGGCGGTGTTTACCGACACATTTTTGTCGAGGGTTTGTGTCACCACATCTGCACCCTGCCAATTAATCCCAAACCAGATGACCAGCACCACATCCTCATCACACCAACAGCAGCAGCGACCGCCCACAAGCGCCAGCAACAGCCTGCAAACGCCAGCAACAGCCCACAAGCGCCAGCAACAGCCTGCAAACGCCAGCAACAGCCTGCACCAAGTCAATGAGGGACGGCTGCATCAACTGCCCCCCCCTTGCATTGTTTACATATCACGGACTTGCAAGGCGCGACTCAAAATGTTGGAGAGGTTTGTTTTTTTGTTTTTGTTTTGGAACCTTGGAAACTCGTCAGCAGCAGGGGCGACTTACGATGGTTGTGTAGAATGTGCAGATTGCTCCACTCGAGAGAACGGAGAACCAGATGCTGAGACCCGTCACTGAGCAAGGAAACAAACACCCCCATTCACTCTGGGAAGGGGCCTTCATTCAGCAGTGGATCGATCCTGGCTGATGACGCTGATGATGATGGACAAATTAATGTTCACGTCACACCCCCAGGGGAATTGCTTTTCCAAGTTTAATTTGTTTTACCAAAGCTCAAGGGACCAGCGGATGGATTGCATCTGCAAGAGTGACCTGGGGTCACCAATATGGACAGAAGCACAACGACACAAAAACAAAGCACGGCAGCGGAACAAATAGAAATCGGAGCAAAATAATCGTGGCACGGAAGGTACCGAACGCACAGCAGGGACGCAAATCCACACACGGGATTAAATTAATTTTCTCGAACAAAAGTTGGCTCTGGCAAATTTACTTAACAACAATAATAATAATAAAAGACATCCACAGTAAAATTAGGCTTCAGAAACAACGATATGGCCCTGTGGGGTGATTACACGCGACCCGCTGACCTTGATTGAGGATGAGAGCCGGAGCGTAGATGACCACTCCCGTGTACAGGACCTGAAGCAGCAGCAGCAGCAGCAGCAAAAAAAACAATTTCTGGTCAGCGTGGAAGACTCGGCCCGAAATAACCCGCTAGACTGGCTCTCTCCAGACGAGCTCCCTCGAGCGGAAAGGCCCTCCTGCCGGCGGTGCCGCGGCCAGGCAATTGCGGGGCTGCGCCTTTACCCCCATCTCCCCCCCCCCCCTTTTCACCAGACGACCCGACACAAGATACAGCCGGGGGCCGCCCTCCGGGCTTGCTGCGAGCGCCGCCCGAACCCCTCGCCATCCCTGTACAGTGGGAGTTGGTTTTGCTCGCAGTTTCAAGAGGGGCCGTGTTTCTTTACCGTGGCAACGATGTACTGGGTCGTTCCGCAGAGCCGCACGACTTTGTTGAAGCGCATTTCCAGGTACTGCGGGGAAAGAATGTCATCGGGCCGTGAAATATAAAAGCAGGTGCGTGCCTGTGACCAAAAAAATTAAAATCACTTAAGCAGCTTTGAGCCTGGATATGTAGCTTGGATGGGTGAACGCCACGCACAAAGCAGGTCAACGGGTTTCTGGGGATACATCGGCGGCTTCATCATCAGTGATTTCTCACCGAGACTTACAGACTCGACCGCAGAGACCCACAAGCTCGCAGAGATCTACAGAGAGACCCACGCACTCGCACAGAGACCCACAAGAATTGCACAGCCCACCGATGAACGTGAAATGTCACGATTCTGCTCTATTTTCTCACACACACATTGAAAAACAGTTGGAGGTTTATAGATACACACACACCACAAACACTCGCCACCGCCACCCATACTATGCTATATGTCATCTAAGTTCAGAACATTTAGGGGAATATGTTTTTGCAAAAGTGTGAACGATCAATAATAAAACCAGAATGGTTCCGCTTGATTTCCCTTGTGTTGAATTAGGTATTTGATGATCCTTTATGACAGTGTTGTACTGCAGTGGAGGGATGGCTCTTGTCCATAATATCTGGAAACCTTGCTTCATTTAACAGGCCACCGACCTGCTGATGAGTTAGAAAGTCGAAACCGTTTCACACTACTGTAGAGTTTGCCAACTCAAACAAACTCTGCTGGACAGCAATCGTCCAAATGATTCTAAAGAAATCGACATTAATACGGCAACACCTCGATATGCCATTTTTCTGCAATACAAAGTTTCAGCATAACGAACTTTGGATTTATTATCATCATTTTAACGGTAAGAAGAAAGTTAAATAATAAATAAACACGAAATAAATTATGAATGGTGTTGGTCTCCTGTATTGCAGAAATAACAATAAAAATATGTTTATTCACTGCGTTTCTTTGATTTGTCTGTACAGTTTGAAATGGAATATTATTTGCAACGTGAATTGTCGTTGTTAACAATATGAATGGCAAGTTGTTAAGTGTTGGTAGCATCAAATAGTAAGTTACAAAGGCTGTGAGAACACATCCTCATAATTCTGTTATAGGCGATTCAATACGTGACGTTTCAATACACGAACGAAGCTGCAGGAACGCATCTACTTCGTATATCGAGGTATTACTGTAGAGTACAAAAGTCGCATATCCAACTTGCTGGGTTCCGTGGTGGTGAGATGTTAACTCCCTCGCCTGGTATACAGGAGGTCGTGGTTTCGATCCCGACCTTGACGCCTGTATGTGTGGAGTTTGCGTTTTCTCTCTCCCCGTGGTCGTGTGGATTTTTCTCCGGGCCCTCCGTTTTTTTTTTCCCCTCCACAATTAGAAACGCGCGTTTAGAATGTTTGTCCGCTATAAATGGCCACGTGATAAGCCGCTCCGTTGAGCCGCCATTTGTGTCCGCCAGGTCGCTTCTGAGCAAGAGCTACGTAGCTCAGTGGGCCTTACCTGGTGTAAAATAAAAAATATAAACAAGTTTCATAGTTTAGCGTTGGAATAGTTGAAACTGTGCACAATGACAATTACAGCGCGTACAGAGGCAATGGCTCAGGGCGGCATTGCGACGTTGTACTGCACGACAGGACAGTAGCTCTATGTACATTTTAGTCAGGTGGATAAATCGTTCGGCGCCGCCGCCGCCGCGTTGGCCGTGGTGCACGAACGCACGGCAACTCGCACTCCGTCAACAAGGCCGCCTTTTAAATGTAGTAATCCATCGGCGACGTTTCGGGCAACGGCCCTTCAAAGCACCGTCCGATTAAGCATGGTTGGCTACGTACGGTGCAAAAGAAGTTCTACATACGGTACATACATAGCAGAAGGGTAATTGTCTGAAACGTAGCCGATTATTATGTATCATTATGTATGGTAATAGTAATAAGATGGTTAAAATGTGAACCATCTTCCCCCTTCCTAACCTCACCCACCCCTCCTCCCTCTCCCTATCATCACCCTTCCCATGCCATCCCTCCACCCCCCACCCCCAGCCAATACTGGTGCGCACCGGCAAATCTGAGCAAAAAAAAATAATCACCAAAATATTACGAGCAAAAAAATCAAACCCCATGCCGACTGCTCAATGAACATTGCCAACTTGTCCCGGCGCCACCCCCAACCTGATAAGTGCTGGTGATGCCCAGGCGGTAGAAGACGGGCAGGAAGACGTACGCCGTGATGAAGACGTTCACCGACTGACCCAGGCACATCTGCAGGAACTTGGCACCGTAGCGATACGCCTCGCCCGGCACGCCGAGCACCTGCACGGCCGACATGAAGCTGGCCGACAGCGAGAGCCCCACGGGCAGGGCGCTGAGGTGCCGCCCGCCCATGAAGAAGTCGCCCGTGGTGCGCTGGCCGCCACCGCGCAGCGCGTAGAAGATCCCGATGGACGTCGACACGAGCAGCATGACCGCGAAGACGCAGTAGTCCCACGGGCTGAAGCCTCCGCCAGCCATCGGCGGGGGCAGCGGGGGCGGCCGAGTCGGCGGAGGAGATTTCGTGCTAACCTGCGCTGACGCTGCTGTGGGTTTTCAGCGGAGACGCGACACACCAACAAAGATCAACACCACCCCCCACCCCCCACCCCCCCGTGTAGACTGAACAGACGGTTTGCGGCAAGTGCTGTTAGCGAGCACCTATTAAGGCCGGAACGGTACACGAGAGGGTGGGTGGCCAACACCACGCCCGGCCGCCTTTGTCTCCCCAATGGCGATCTTTACACACCGCGCCAGGTACTCATTTGAGGCCGACCTTGGCGAGGCCCATAACCGGTTCAAATAATCGTCACTGGTGATGGCCGGGAGCGGGAATCGAACTCGGGGAGTCGGGTTCATAGCACAGCGCGCTAACGGCACACGAGTAGAGACGCAGGCACAGACACACGCACAGGCACTATTATTGACACACAGGCACTATTATTGACACACAGGCACTATTATTGACACACACACACGGGGACGGGGGGTGTCGCGTGCGCGCGCACACACAGGAGTGACACACACACACGGGAGTGACACACACAGTGACACACACACAGTGACACACACACAGGAGTGACACACACACACAGGAGTGACACACACACAGGAGTGACACACACACAGGAGTGACACACACACACACAGGAGTGACACACACACACACACACAGGAGTGACACACACACACGGGAGTGACACACACACACGGGAGTGACACACAAACAGGAGTGACACACAAACAGGAGTGACACACACACACACACCACACACACAGGAGTGACACACACACAGGAGTGACACACACACACAGGAGTGACACACACACACACACAGGAGTGACACACACACACGGGAGTGACACACACACACAGGAGTGACACACACACACAGGAGTGACACAAACAGGAGTGACACACACACCACACACACACAGGAGTGACACACACACAGGAGTGACACACATACGGGAGTTACACACACATGAGTGACACACATACGGGAGTTACACACACACACATGAGTGACACACATACGGGAGTTACACACACACACACAGGTGTGTTACCTTTCCCAAAGGGCCGGGATAGGTGACCGGTAGAGAGAGGGGGAAGCCGCCCAGGACGCGCCCGATGACCGTGGTGACTTTGGTCGACTTCTCTCCTCCTCCTCCTCCTCTGGGACACAACGCCGCTGCGTGCAACACAACCAGCAGCTCGCTACTGGACGACGATCAAATTCACCGAAGGCGAAAAACTTATCTGGGTGCTACACTGATATTGCTCAAGAGCGCATTCGTGATGTTAATGATGACGACGATGATACTGACAGAAGAGCCCAATGTCTCTCCTCCGTAGTGCTCGCTGGGTGTGTCTGCCGATGGCCACGTCGTGAGCGGGAGGAGGAGGACGCACTCAGGTTCTCAATATCCGCCTCTCGAACCCCCTAGGAGCCACCGCCCCACACACTCACCTCGACCCCCACCCCACGCCGCTAACCCATCGCCCATCTTCTTAAACAAGTAACACGGCTGTGTGAAGATCACACGCGGCCAGCTGCTGGCACGCGCAAGTTCCTCACTCCCACTTCTCTCTCCAACTCTTCTCATTGACCAGAGCGGTGAATTATTATCAGACAAAACCCCCCCCCTTAATCACCACAAGTTGCGAGGGTGGCTGAGTGGCTGGGTGGCAATCTTCACCCAGTAGCGAATTCATCTAGAAGCTGTGCAAGTCTTCACATGCAATTTCCGGGCACCCCATTATCTTTCAATGAATGATCACTAAACAGCCTGGTGAAGTATGGTCAAACCGTCCCTCCCCTCCAAACCACAACTTGCACGGCCATAATGATGGGTGGGGTGGTGGGAAAAGAGGATATTCATCCAGCAGTGGATCGATGAAGGTCGTGCATTGTACGACCGATGGGAGGTGGGGGATGAGGCGGTGCGTGTTGGCACAGCGCGCGAGACGCGGGATCAGCCCGTGGCATTGGCGCAGTGGTGCCGTCTCCTCCTCCTCTCCACCACCACCTTCAGCTGCTACGCGCTCGGGCTTAAAGAATGGTGAGGGTCCCAAAATGGGGGGGGGGGGGCGTTGAGGCCGGATTTGTTGGGTGGTAGCGGCACCAACGGCGCCTCCGCTCCAGCGACGCTCGCGTGCGTAAATATGAACGGGAAGCCCCCACTGATTGCCTTCGTGATTCGCACAGGCTGATTGGTTACACAATAGGCCGCTCATGAAAAGCAATTTTTATAAGTAGCGCGCACGTGCGCTGTGATGAGTCAACGGTAATGATCGGGGTTGGAGCGGTGGTGGTGGTGGTGGCAGTGACGAGCGCGTTGCACTGCGACTCCGGCGGTCCTGAGTTCGATTCCCAGCGCCGGCTCACGTCTGTGGTGAGCGCCTGAGATGCGAGGGTGAAACCAAAAGTCAACATTGAAAGGCGCTCAATGCCGGGCGCAATCGGCGATTGAAAACGATCCCGTGGCGTTCAGTGCCAAATCGGAAGCATTAATGAGCACGTGCGCGCGTTCACATTAAAGGCTATCGCCATGCACTGCTCCCAATGTGTGCTAAACCACTTATCTTAAAAGCAGCCTTTGGTGCATTCAAACGTCAAACAAATCGATAATTGTTTAACTTTAAAACCATCTCACGAGTTCAAATAACACGTCTCGTTTAATTACATTGCTTTTTAATTGTTGGGGAGAGTGCGGTGAGCGAGCGCCTACAAAGGCCAGCACAGCACACGAGGGGGTGGGTGGCCAGCACCACGCCCGGCCGCCTTCGTCTCCCTAGTGGCGATGCTCACACATCACACCAGGTACTCACTTGAGGCTGACTCGACCTACGGGAGGCTCAGGGCCGGTTCCGATAATCGTCGATAATCAATCGAACCCGGGTCGCCAGGTTCGTAGCGCAGGTGCGCTCACCGCAACATCACCGCTCACTCAACCACTAGCCCCGCCTACCGCTCGTAGGCCCCGCCTACTGCCCAAGTAGCCCCGCCCACTGCTCAGGTAGCCTCGTCCACTGCTCAGGTAAGGGGCCGTCCATAAATGACGTCACATATCTGGGGGGGGTCAGACATTTGTGACGAGGGGGGGTTTGAGAAATGTGACGTCACGTGAAAATGCGCAACTTTAAATAAACATAGACAACACGTTCTACTTAAATTTTGATTTAAAGCTTTCGTGACTGCAGGGATTCATATTCTTGGTTCTTTCGGTAAAGTCACGTAGAAGGGAAACAATAAAATAATAAAAATATAAAACAATAAAATTATCACGACGTTTCGACTGCAACACAAGCAATCATCATCAGAAAGAAAATGTTCTTGCTGTGGTTTTCACACCTGATCGTCACTAAAGCCACTGGGGAGGAGATGGGGACAGTCTGCCTCGGCTACTCAGGGACGTTCCGTAGCTTCGCCCGAAGGGGAAATGGAAGCACAGATGAAAGTCAGCATCGGGGTGTTGTAGATATACTGGAAGAATCCTATGAGCTATAAAGCTCTTTTTTAACACCCAGTATTTTCACAGATGTTCAGTAAGTTAAAGAGAATGGAAACGCTTTGAGCTCCACTCATGCATACAGACGCGCACACATTTGACTAATGCTGACGATATTATAATTGTAACGTTTTTATTGAAATCACTTAAACAAGACGGAGAGCCGCTACGCGGTCTGCTTTACGTCCTCACAAGCGCAATAAATTTTGACTGAAAACTTTCCGTGACTGCAGGAATTCATATTCTTGGTTCTTTCGGTAAAGTCACGCAGATGAGAAAATAAAAAAAAAAAACACGTCAAAATAAATTTAAAATAAAAGTAAAAAAAAAACCATGGCGTTTCGACCGCGACACAAGCGTTCGAAACGTCGTGCGGTTTTTTGCTTAAATTTTTTTTTCCATCTACGTGACTTTTCCGAAAGAACCAAGAAACCAAGCACAACAGCTGCCTTTGTTTTAATTTGTTTCCCACGTATTTGTTGTTGGTTGCGTTTGAAGTGGGAGAGCGGGGAGAGCTGGGGGTGGTGCATCGGTTAGCGCAGTGCGCCGCGAGCGAACCCGACGACCTCAAAGTCTAAACCTTCCCAGGCGACACAGCGACAATTCAATTTCTCACGTTCAGGTTACTCGAACCGCACTCTCGACACCCACCCTGGAAATGTCGCACTCAGCGAGGATAGACAGTCCATGTCCCACTGTTGCACGCTCGAGCAGCAGCAGCAGCAGCAAATGTGACCCCGGGCAGACCTGCGCAATACCTCCTCCTGTGTACGGTGTAATCTATAGACATCATCATCATCAACAGGCATGGTCTGTCCACTGCTCGATGAAGGCCCTTCTCAAGTCGTCGCAGGCCGTCAGGATCTTACGATACCACGGCCCATTTCGCTCATACTCATGAGCTCAGAATTAGAATCTTGATTTTTTTTTTTAACGGGAGGAATCCGATGAGATATACAGCTCTTTTTTCACAGATTGTCCAGAGCTGATCCAATTGTTCCATCTCCACGAGGGTTGTACACCCAGGCGTTTTATCTCTGCCATTGCATTACCAGTCTGGCCCATCGGCCATCAATCCCTTCTAGCCACGATGTACTCGGCTACAGAAAAAAAACCCAAGATCGAATCATATTTAACATACGTTTTCACTGAATTTCCACCTCTAAGGACTAATACTCTTATAAAAGCGCACAACTTCATCTGTGATGAACGCTGCACACTTTCCGTCGTTTTCATGCAGGGGGCGCTGCAGACCTACACGCGCCCCCTGCATGAACGACGGAGGCGCAGGGACAGACGTTCGATCACGTCGGAATCGATCTGCAGACGGCGGTCTCCTCGCACGGCCAGCAGCTCGATGTCGCCTTATCTCGATCCCGCAATCCCAAACAGCTGGAAGTCCGCATCGAACCGAACCCCCAGCAAGGACATCTACTTAACGACGAGAGAAAATTCACACGAAATGTCCTTTTCAACGAAGTCCTCCAGATGTAAAATTCTATAAGCCTTTAATGAAGAAATACAATTATCGAATTCAAAACATGATACAATGAATCGATGTTTCATTTTAAAACTTCAAAACGGAGCATCGGGTGCTTGCGTGAATGCGTCGTTCCTGCGTGACAATTTTTTTTAGTGACTTTCCTTGGCCAAGGGCCGTAAATGGTTGTGAGGGGCACCACAGGCGCCCCAGAACAACCTCTAGTATGCTAAATGTGCTGTTCAATGCCATGGACGGATAATTATATAGCGAGCACGGGAGAAGATGCACGCAACATCGACAGTGAAGGGGCCTCAGAAGTGGCTCTGCGATGTCATCTTCTGCAAGCCACTCTCAAACCTGGGGGGGGGAGGGGGGGTGACTATGCGCGCTTTTCTGCGATGGTAATATTTATTTATGGTAATATTTAGTTATGGTAGTATTTATTTATGGTAATATTTACTTATGGTAATATTTATTCACCTCGTGGCATGCCACCGTCGTCGTTGAGGACAATTAGAAAATAATTGAGTAAAAAAAATCCGAGTTGGAAGGAAATGGGGGTGGGATGGATGGGGTGGTTGAGGGTGAGATGGTGTGTGAGGGTGAGTGGGGGTGGGTGAGGTGAGTGAGGGTGGGTGAGGGTGAGAGAGGGTGGGGGTGGGATGGGTGAGGGTGGGTGAGGGTGGGTTGGGGGGGGGTGGATTGGGTGGGTGAGGGTGGGTGAGGGTGAGTGTGGCTGAGTGGGGGTTTTGTTTGGAGGTCGTTAATGAGCGTGCGATAGGAGGTAAAGACGGGGGAGGGGGAGGAGGAGCGCGAGGGGGTTCACGAAGCGCGGCGCGCGTTAATCTGCAATGGACCTGCGGGCGGCGATTGTCCGCGACACGTCGCGCTGTGATCCAAGTGTGAATAATGCCCTCATGCAAATCGCGAGCCGCGCTGATCGCAACGACGCGAGAGGGGGAGCTGTGGGGGAGGAGGGGGGGCGCGGAGATGGGTGGGTGGGGGGCGACGTGGATTTTGAGCCTAAATGTAGGGGCTGGCCCTTGCTTATCTGCGCCAATTCATTACCCGCACGCCACATTTGTTAATAGCCATCGTTAAGCACACACGGGCTGCGGGGTCCAATTTAAATCGGCGGGCGAGAGATATTAAAACGTTTTCCTGGCACGCCGGAGATAGCTGCCGGCCGGGCGCATTGAGGTCACGGGTTAATAGGTGAGCATCAGGTGTGAGCTTTCCTCAATGTGGGAATGCCTGTGATTGGAATAAAAAGTGTCACCGCTGTCCTCGCCAGATCTGGCTGTATTTACTTTATTATATATAGAGGTTTTTTTGTCACATGCAGTGAATTTTAAATGTAATGCATGCAAATTACGTTATTAGAGGCAGGGCTATAGTTGTAATGGGCGAGAGACACCGCATTCTTAAATAAAAGAGACATTTGTGATTCCATCTTCTAGGCGGGATGCAGTGTCTGTAAAATGTATACATTTGGTTATTGCTTGATTTGAAGCTTGGTTATTGCTTGCGACAACAAATATTAACATAAAATAAAACGAGGGTTTTGACGTGCTTAGAAATGGAGAGACGGATGATTGGTTTTCTGGGCTTTGCTTAAGACGGTTGCTATCACACGTTACGCTTGCAGTGAAATGAGGCGTAAATCCCAATGCGAATTCATAAACCTTCACAAGGACCGATTCCACGAGCGTACAATGTCCTATCAAGCGATAATCACGTTCCTCTCGTTGCTTTTGTTATGCTGTGTTTGTGTTGTGCCACGTATTCATTAGATTATGTTTTTCAAGCCATATCCTCATTTCCCCAAGGGGAGATATTTTAATAATCGGCAACTTTGGTTCATTGTTTTTCTCACTCTGGCCCTATCGTCATTTCTTGTTGTATTTATGAGACTCGCAAATCCGTCAGTCCCACGACAGCCTCCACGGTAAGTGTGAGCTTCCACTACACACAGAGAGGCGGTGTGTTTTGGGGCCCTCTTTGCCTTGGCAAGAAGTGATCGCGCAGTGTTTGGGTGCCACGGCTCACGCCCTGCGAGTGGCCATCGAGGGGACGTTCCAGTCAAAGACGTTAAGTGCAGGTTCATGGCATTGTGGGTAAATCTTCTTTGGACGTGGTGCTTCAAACAAAATGTTAACACTTATATGCGACTATCGTTTTCAATGGAAAAAGAACGGATAATAAACTATAACATGATAAGAAATCTGGACTTAAAGCTTTCGTGACTCCAGGAATTCATACTCTTTGGGTCTCTCGGTAAAGTAAAAAAATAAAGCTATTTTTCTCTCCAGAGGACGATTGCTTGTGTTGCGATCGAAACGTCGTGATTTATTATTATTATTTTTATATCTACGTGACTTTTACCGAAAGACCCAAAGAGACTGATATCAAATGTATTCATAATCGAGGTTTTTTTTTGGGTTAGATCGCGTAAATATATAAATGTGTTGTTAAAGCCCGCCACCACCCGACACAGCCAACTAGTAAGGGTTGTAACTGGAAACCTTTACCCGTGTATCGATAGTTCAATGTTATTGAGGAACTGCTGTGTGTTGTTGTCTTGGTGTGGTCTGGGAATGTTGTTGTTGTTGTTTTGTTCCCTAGCCCATGCTTGCATTTGGTGTTGGCAAATCGGGTGCCATTTGTACTTCTATCTATACTTTATTTATTCTCAGTGAATTGCTGACCTGTTCTCTATTTG